ATTTGATATTATTAAAAGAGTTATCTAAACAGTTTAAAAGTATCCATGCGACTGTTGTTGAACCGTCACAACACATGATAGAGTCATTCCAGAAAACAGTAGAAGATAATAAAGAACTGTCAGATGTGACCTTTGACTGGATTATGGTGGACATTGATACATATAAAAAATCTCACCAAGAAGAAGAATTTCATTTGATTACTATGATGAATGTATTGGAATATGTTAATGATGTAGATGATATGTTGGCTTGGATATGTAACAGTGTAGCTGACAATGGTACAGCTATACTAACTGTCTCTGCAGGTATACACAACACTGACTGACCATGTATCTGCTCAGTTCTTCAAAAATGATTTAACGTGTTACACATCTGCATGTTTCAATGTGTTGATCAAAATATAGTATGAACAATTAATTACATGTACCATATTCTTGAACCTCATACATGTACTAGTATGTTTCTTCAGATTTATTAATATAAAATGTAATATTTCTCATAATTTAATGAATGTAAAAAGTTTGAGTTACCGGTAATTGTTTTACTTGTAGTGAATGTGAAGCTATTGTTGTCAGGGCATTTATATATTGCATTGTGGGAGTGCTTTAACTCAATATTCTGCTTCCCGAACCCCAATATCCTATGTGTACACAGAATATATTGCAAGTTCCATTTCATTTTCTCGTCAGGACTCCTAACATTGCAAGAATGTATCTAAAACAACCGAACATTTTTCTTGGTTGCTATCATAGACAAATCATATATAATGTTTAAATATATTCGAAAGTAGATGCTTATGTCAAGAAGGTACAAGTTTCACACTACAGTAAACACACCAGCATATTTCTGCTTACAATATTGCGAGTCATACTATTTTCTTCTTTCAGATAATAACATTTTGTCGAGATTGTGGGAACATTTTCCTGATCTTATTGGTACATATTTAAAGCAGAGTGTTCAAGGAAGTGACATTGAAGCACGTTTGAAAAGTATTACCACCACAGTTGATGTGATCAAGTCAGACTTCACCATAGAGTTTTGTTGTAACGAGAACTCCCTAGACGGGAATTTAGTTCTTGACTTTCTCACTCATAAGATTAATTTCAGAAAGACAGCATCGCCGGTCGATATTCAACGCGTTTTATCTTTTCTGTTTTATGCCAGTGCTGTCAATAGTGAAAAACAAGAAGGGAATCTTGTGCTTCCAAATGGATATAATTTTGTTATTGTATCGAAATAAATACATTTATTTAATGATAAAAAGTAATTTTAACATTGTTTCAAATCAATCTTCTTAAAAAAAAATGTTGTTGCATATTGCATTATCATATTATCAATAGATCAAATATTTTTCGAAAATTGCTATATTATAACTACTATAGAACGCAATGGTATATGTGGATCTCACAATCTGATTAAAATCTGATGTAGGTATGAGGCTCCAATTTTTTTTTTTTTTTAAATATTTTTTGATAACCCTTTATATTATATTTATCTGTATTTTAGTTTGATTTCTTGCTTGACGAATAAATTAAAAAAGTTAATTAGAACAAATTCCTGATTAATTCAATAAAACCTCCATTACGAATGTTATGTCTTCAGCTTTAGCAGGATAACTTGAAAAGTTATTTAAGAATTCCTGTAAATATTCAAGAAGAGCCCTTGACACAAAAACTGTTTTTTAAATCGATATGGGTACAGTTACCAACAATTTTGGAAATGATAGTTCAGTTACAACTCAAATATTTTTAGTTATTGATATGGACAGATTCAGATACAGTTGTCGTGGAAACAATTTTCCTATTGATTTTTCATTTATAACTCAAAATTATGGATGTATTCTGATAAAATTTCAGGAGAGACCACCCTTGAAATATAATACAAATCTATTAGATTTTGGTAGAGATTCAAATATGGTTGCCATGGAAACAACAATTTTGAAAATTATTGATTTACAAGTCAAATCAGGGACTGATATGCTGGAAAAGTAGCGCTTGATGCAAGTACCAATTCATTAAATGTTGGTAGGGATGTTGATCCAGTCGCTATGGAAATGGATATTTCGGGCATGATTTTTCATTTATGACTCAACAAGTTTTAGCAGAGGTTTCCCATGGAAACAAGTATCAATTATATTTTACAAAAGATGTGGATCTGGTTGCCATGGAAAAAACAATTTCTTGAATGATTAAATATTCAAACTAAGAGTTATAGATGGAATCTAATGACAACAGGTACCAATTAGTAAGAGGTTGATCTGGATCTTGTTGCCATGGAAACAAAATATTTACGAATAAAATTAATGAAACCAAATGTCGAGTTTTAAGCAAAAGCTGTCTTTCAAACATGAACCAAGCCATTTGATTTTAAGAGATCTAGATCCAGTTACTTTGAGGATATTTTTTAAAAGATTCTTCACCATTGTCATCTGATTGATATGCACAGGATTAATATGCACAGGATTTAAACCAAAACTAATCAGTACTGAGCATTATCCCAGAACATCTATGTTCCAAGTTCCATTGAAATCTGTCTAATGGTGCATGAGAAACAGTTAAAAAGCTTAAACTTACCTAATTAATATGCTAATTAGATAATTTATATGCATGGGATTTAAACCAGAACTAGTCAACACTGCGTATTGTCTATATATCAAGTTTCATTTAAATCTGTTTAATACTAATAGCACATGAGAAACAAGTGAAGATGTTTAAAATTGTCTAATATGCAAATTAGGTAATAATATGTACGAATTTCAACCTAAAACTAATCAGGTATGTGCATCACCCCAGAACATCTATATACCAAGTTTCATCAACATCTGAATATTGGTTCTTGAGATATCATTGGAACAGACACACACACACATACACATACACATACACTAACCGCAAAGACTCGTATCGCAATATTGCACACATTACGCATTTCTGGTATTGAAAAAATATCAGATTGCTGCAGAACTATGAGGATTTTATAATAACGCAAATATGTCGACAATTGTTTGTAGCAATATGTTTGACCCAGAGATGTGATCGTCTTAATAACTTTATAAGAGGCTACATTGTTTGTCATTGCATTATTTATTACCTGCAGAATGTCCGATAAACAAAACGTGAAAAAATCCATAGTTATATTTTATTTATTAACACACAACATCCCCCGGAGGGGATGAAAAGGGTTACAAATCAGATATTAGTAAAAGAAAAATAACCACATAAAGAGTAAGGGAACAAAAAGGCATAAAAAAAAAAAAAAAAAAGATAATAATTTGAATACAAGGAATGTATTACTGGCTTAGTTTATGTAGGTGCTGCTGTCTTGTATTAAAACAGTTTTTTAAATATTGCGCTAAAGGAATAGACATTTTCTCGTCACTTACCAGTAGTAATGATATGAATTTATTTTCATTACTAAATTTGTCAAAATTTGGTATACGTTTATTAGCTACAATGTAAAGT